CTAAGTGTTAAAAGTTGTTAGACTGACAAACCACACTCACTGCTAAATAATATGCAAGGACAGCTCTTAGTTAATGTTTGTATACAGAAGGAGTTCTTTTCCTTTCATGTATTCAATTAACTCCTACGGCTATAACAAGTAGATTACTATTACTCAGACACAACGAATGATTTTGCATTGCTGAAAATGGTTTCGAATATTCATGAGCCCTTAGTGACTATTACCATGAAGCATCTACTGTAAAAGTAGGTGGTTCCTCATTTTTCCAAAGGTATCTTTTATTTTTTTTCTAATTGCTAACTACCACCATCTAGGAATATAAGAGCCATTCAACTGCCTTAGTTATTATCTCGGAGTATAATATGCTGCAGCTCATAGTTACACTGTACTCTTTTAAAGTAGGCTTTTCAACATAGCAACATTCCAAATTAAGAGGCTACAGTTGCTTTCATGTAGTAGCTAATTGTTTGAAGTGGATTTCAGATTTTCAGCTACTGTCATTACACCCCCCCCCCCCAAAAAAAAAAATGATGGAAGTACTTGTACTTTTTTTTTTTTTCTGATGCTCATTCTACCAAGAACTGAAACACTGGTACCACAACTTCCCTGAGTTAAAATGCAATTGAAGATTTTGTGCCAACGTAAGAAACCTCAACAGGTTCCATATATTATGAGTAAAGACTCTCACTCTATAGATCCATGAGGTCACCAGCTCTTAGATTCACTATTTCCTCTACTGTATTATAACCTCTGATTGGCTCAGTGTTCCTGTATTCCTAGTATACCTGAGTGCACTCACTTCTCACTCATGTATTCCATCTCTGATGTTTCTTCAGCCTGACAAATCTAAGCATCTTTGATATGGCTAAAACATTCCAAAACATTCTGGTTTTGTTGTTGTTGGTTTTGCTGCTCTGTTTTTCGAGACAGGGCTTCTTTGTGTAGCCCTGGCTGTCCTAGACTTGCTTTATAGACCAGGCTGGCTTCAAATCCACAGAGTTCCACCTGACTCTGCCTTCCAGAGTGCTGGGATTACAGGCACGTACCATCTCGCCTAGCTAACATTCTGTTTCTTAGTCTTAAATGGTAGAAGGCATTATCATTTTTTAAAAGAATTTGTTTTTCTGAGGATTTTATCTTCCCATTTCTAAACTTAAGCCTGGAGAGTGCAGGACCACTGATTTCCATGCTCAAAACTTATATTCAAAACACAGCACTTTCAATACATATTTGATATTTGCCTCTGGGTGATTACATGTTTGAAATTGAGCTAAAACCTTCCAGCTTCTAGGAAGTCTTCCCTTAATATTATATAATATTTGCCAAAACTATTCAAAAAAGAATACATTACAAATCAAAGTATACACTGATCTGTGTTGACAAAGTATGCATGGTCTTCTACAGAAGAATTTGGAGAACAAGTGGCTACTGACTGGATTCATATGTGAAAAAGAAAACCTAGTATCTAGCAAGTAGTCATGCTCCTGCTTCACCTTTTGCCATTCCCTGTCCATAACAAGGGCATCTGTGTGCTTGGACACATACCATATGTATGTGTAATGTGTTTCTGTGGTTGAATTCACATACTGAACTTTCTTTTTATTCTTATTTCCTCTCATGTTGTCCATGGCATGCTGAAACAAGCCTGGTAGCTACTTTGTAGTCCAGACATCCTCCTGCTTCAGCCTCCCTGTGGCTGGGAATATAGCTTGGTAAAAGACCTGATCTCAGAATCTATAATATGTAAATATTGCTGCCACACTTATGTACATCTAAGTATGAAATTACGACATGGAATTTAACTACAAAGGGAGAGACGATGTACCAAAAAGAATATATATATATTTTTAGATCTTTGTTATTAATTCACCTAAAGTAGAATAATTTATGATTCTCAAAATAAATTTTAAAAGGTTTCAAAATAACATGTTGATTCTAGTGCAAAGTGTTTCAATAAAGCATGTTTGTTAATTAACAGACTAAGAATCCAAACAGTAAGTTCTTCAGAGCCCAACAATCTGAGTACCAAATGGGCCACTGAAAGACTGGGCTAGAAATAATGATTAAATCAATGTATTCAATTTCACACTCCACTAGTATTTCAAAACTTATGCATAAAAAAGACACAAAGAGGCTCAAAAAGGAGACATTTTAATGCTAGTTACAGAAATTCCATACAATAGGAATGAAATGTTTTCATCTCAGAAAGGCTCTAAAATGGGAGCGGACTAACAGTGTATGAAACAAGATATTCCATTTTAAAGTTAGCAGGAATTTTAATGTTATGACTGATAATTTAGTATACTTTCAGGTAACTAAGTTTGAAAGAACAAATTTATAAAATAACAATGTCTCAATAAAATATACAATCCTATATAACAATGAAAGGGCATTTGTTTTTCATCTATCAAATACTGTCTAAATTATACAAATATTAAAAATATGTCACAAGAAAGGAAATAATAGAAGATGACTAAGCTTAAAATAAAGAGCAGTAAAAAGATAAAAATTTCAAGTATTATGTCATTTATGTTACTGTTTTGTGAAGCTGTAGATTACATGTAGAGCCTTGTAAATACTAAGCATTACCCTTAGCATAAAGCTAGAGTTTGGAGAGACAAACAAAATAGAAATAAAAGCCCTTTAGGAAATGAAAGCAAAAAATGAAAAGTAGGATAGCATACAAATATAAAGATAGCAAAAATACATTCTTTAAATTTTTACAAGTTCCACTGGTAGTACCCATGAGCCACTGGGTGAAGGCTTTCAACTGTGTGTGAGGCACAAATCATTGCCAAAAACAAAGGTCGGGAAACGGAGCGCTCACGATAAGATTACTCAAAACCAAACAAATGGGAGCATGCAAATAGGCAGTATGCCAGTGTGTCCGAGCTGCAAACTTGTAATCTAGCAAACAAAGAAGATACAACTTTTGTGTGCACCATTCTTAACACAGAAAAATCAATAAACACAGTATACTGGGCTCTAATATAACATCTTGCAATGAAAAGTAAAAATTCAAAAATCAAGAAACAGATGACTGAATGATGGATAGCAACATACAACAGTTAAAACTAAAATTCAATGTAGAAAGAATAATAACAACTTTTAAAAACAAAACTGTCATAAAAAGACAACCAAAGAGATACATTTGAAAAAGACAAGGCTGAGAAGATTTTAGAACCGTAGAAAGGCTGATATTTGCTCAATTAACTGCAAGTAAAAGTAAATCCCAAACTATTCATAACCTAATAAAACAGGAGAGTACAAAACATAGGATTCTGCGAGCAGCCACTGAGAGTGAGAACCCATGAATTTGTTCTGGCAATCTACTGTACAGCACAGTGACAAGTTGATTTACATTAAAATGAAGGCATGAAGAAAATTTAAAAAATAAAATTACTGTAAAAACTGGCACAAACATGAAATTACTTTTTTTTACAGAACTGAAAATTACAAAGTCTTAAAGACAAGTATTACTGAAGCTGATTAAAAAAGTCACCCTAAAAATACTGTGTCCAAATGACAAATATAAAGATTAAGAAAGGTTGAAACTCAAGATGGAAATCAAGGCAAAGATAATCGAGGCAAAAGGTAAGTAAAGAGAGTTGGTAAGGTTACATTAATATTAAAATGCTGTATTTCAAGTCAAACGCATTAGTGTAGAGATAAGGTAGGCAAGTGACTGATACAGAAGAACATAAATACAAACATGTAAGTGCTGAAAATCCAGCAAGCTCAATAGGACTATGATGAAAAATAAAGGGTCATCATAGTTGAAAATGTGAACACAGTTCTCTAAACTCAAAAAAAAAAAAAAAACATTAAAGACATAAGTGGAAAAAATAGAAAACATTACACAACTCTAAAACAAATAATTCTAAACCCATAGGAATTGTTAAACAAAGACCACATTGAGGCTACAAATGGTTTCCCTGTCTTAAAAAAAAAAAAAAAAAAGATGGCTCAGAGGTTAAGAGCACTGTCTGTTCTTTCAAAGGTCCTGACTGAATTCAATTCCCAGTAACCACATGGTGGCTCACAACCATCTGTGTTGGGATCTGCTGCCTTCTTCTGAGATACAGGTGTAAATGCAGATAGAGCACTCATACATAAAATAAATAAGTTTTTTTTAAAGCAATTATTACAAATGGAATTCTCTAACAACAATTAAAATATACTTAGTGAAGGGACTCTGGCAGGCCTTTGCTATTCAACTCCACTCCCTCTACCTTGTTTAAAGCCATTGGATTACAACCCTAAAGCTAGCCACCTAAGTCTCTTCCCTTATTTGGCCACTTCCTCTTCCTGAGACTGCCAACCAAAGTCCAACCATCAGAGTACTGAAGTCCAGCTATCAAGTCTCCTTTGGTTCACCTAAAGAACACGCTCAATCAAAATACATGCCCAAATGCAAGCCCATTCTAACACAGATGTCTCCCTCCTCTGTTTCTCTTATTAAATGTTTTACCTGAAAGGTCATTTGCTTCTGTTTTGCTGCCTGAGTCAGAGAGCAGCCACTTTTACTTGTCTTCCCTGCTTAATGAATGCTCTCAGTGAAAATAGCTGTTTGGGTATGGTTTGTGCCTAATCTGGTCCAAAAGGGAATGGGCTGTTTAGGTCTCCTAACACATGGGAGCATCACCTTCTCACTAACAACAGATCTTATGAGCCTGTTCTTCCCACATTTCTACTTCCTGTTCTCTCAGATTTAGAGTTCAGATGTAGAGGATTTCCTTCCATCAGTTCAAGGACACCAAAAACTGAGATGGCTTCTACCTGTTGGAGGATCCTTGTCCATACTTCTCTGACCCAGAAAATCATCACTTGAGGGTGTGGACCTTTGGCCTTACTGTACATGAGCAATGAGTAAGATCAAGTTCCAGCTCCTCTTTCCACCTGCCAAGTCAATGCTAACTCACTTTGAAGGACACACCACTGACTCCCCATGGTCTTCTTGTCTTCTCTACTCCTAGGCTTGGCCAGATGATGGGGCTTACCTTTACAGAGATTCAGATGGAAGGGCAAGTTCCGTGGTATCTTTGTCCTTAGCCTTAGCCTCTGAGATCTGCAGGTTATTCTGCAAGGCATTCAGCAGCTGGAGGTAGGTCTGGTTCCTAAAAAGACAAAGTTGGTGGGAAGCCAAAGGAGTCTCGGGTGGACTTGCCTGAGTCTTTAATCCAGGCTACAACTCACCTCTGCAGCTTATCCTGTTCCTGTCCTGCTTGCTGCTTCAAGGTTTCAAGTTCCTGGCGTGACTCCTCAAGTTTCAGCTTTGCTCTGCTCTGGCGTTCCTTTATCTCCGCAGACATCTCTGCCAGACTCCTTACACGCTTCTGATGGGGTAAGAGTGCAGATGTGACTTGCTGAATGCTGTTGTCTTGGAGCCATTCCTCCAATCTCTGCTGCTTGGAGGGAGCCTGGGGCTCAGACTCACTGACACAAAGAGATAGCTTATCACTTGGAGGCAGAGAAGGGCCTCGAGGAAAGTAAGAACCCACCTGATGCAGCTGCCATTGCTTGTGAGCTGCTCGCTTTTTCTCTACAAGTACTTGCTTCTGCAGGAAAAAAAAAAAAAAAAAAAAAAAACAACTACTATCCTCCTTAGGTCTGATTTTTGGAGCTAGCATGAGAAGTCCAACCCAGCTAACTCTCTCCTTCCTTCTGTCCCTCAGTCCCTCCTTTCTAGGTGTACCTTAGCCTGGAGTTTCCCCAAAGCTGCCTTGAGTTCTTTGTACTTCCTTTGGATCTCTTCCAACTTGGGTAAGGCCTGACTCAGGCCACATTTTATGGCTTCCATGTGATCCTGGTATACAGCCTTCAGTTCCTTCCACTGCTCCTTGGCTTCAGTTGCCTTCTGTCCTAAGGCGACCACAAGAATGAGAGAATGAGTGAGGCTGGCCTGAAGCCAGCTTTCTACAGCACTAGGCCACAGTCTTCCCATTAGCTAGACACAGACATAACACATATCTTCCCTCTTCAACTATCAGACCAGACCTTACCACAAATCCAAGCCTACTCACGACTTGTGTCTTCAGAAACCAAAGTGTCTGGGCTCTGGGCGGTATCCTCCTGAGCCAGAAAATTCTGTAACAAGTTCACAACCTGAAGCTGGCTACAAAGCAGCTTGTCTTTCTTCCGAGAGTTCTGTTTAGAGAGAAGACAGGAGCAGGCACTCTCCTTACCTTCCCGCACTATAGGCCAAGATTGTCTTCCATTTTGTTCTTCACCATTGCTGCCCCCTATCTCAATAGGCCATCCCAGGACCAGACCCCCTCTTCTGAAAAGCTAGGCCCCCACCTTGTACATACCCTCACAAACTCCTCCAGGATCCGGGCTGGCAGCTCTGCTTCTTCCTGCAGGCCTACAGGTTCCAAAACGCCTGCTACCTCAACCAGGACCCTGTAAAGCAGAAGTGAGACTGTGCTATCATGGCACACTAGCTCTAAAGGACATGTACCATGTACGCATGCATCTATGTAAGGGACTGTGCCAACGCGCAGAGTCCCAACTTGACCAAAGTCTACACAAAGGCCTGAGGGTACTTCAGACGGGGATCAGAACCACTGTGTGCCTGGAGAACACATAGTGACAACTAAGAGGCATGTGAAAAGTCATCAGAATAATGGGGAATCAGGAGTGTGCGGATGTGGCTAAACTTGTAAACAGGAAGTGCTGGGTAAAAGCTACTTGAGTCCGTGTGAAAATAGCCAGGGTCATATATGACTTCGGGCCCTGGACAGGAGAATTGACGGGTGCCACAGAATCGGCATTCCGAACTGAAGTGACACCATTCCTCAGACGTCGTACTCCTGGGTAGGGTGACACAGTTCCTCGGGGCCCCGCACTCCCGAGTTAGGGTGGCGGGGTCACCCTGGGCCCCACTCCTGAGCTAAGGCGGCACAGTCCCCCAGGGCCCCGCACTCCCGAGTTAGGATGACAAGGCCCCTCAGGGGCCGCACTCCCGAATTAGGGTAACCCCGTCGCTCGACCGCCGCCGCCACCGCCCCGAGCCGCTCGCCTTCCACTCTCACCCCTCAGCAGCCGCAGGAGTAGTCTCCTCGGACGCCATCTCTCCGCGGCACTCCGAGCGTTTGGATTCCCCCAACACTGCGCGCCTAGGTAAGCGATTGGCTTCTGGGTCCACGGGCGGGACTCTACGGAAGAGCGTCCCTTTTCATTGGGTGATCCTGAGTCAAGACCCGCCCCTTGACGCACGCTCGGAGGAGTCTGGGCCCTGTGGCGGGGGCTGGGGGTTCTGCGCCTGCGTGGTAGGAAGCGTTTGCAGCTGGAAGCCGGAAGAGTGAATGACTGGGAACTCTGGAAGCCGCAGCCAACCGAGAAAAGGCTCTTCTTTATGTTGTCTGTTCCTGTCTTCACGCTTTCTTTTCTCTTCTCTTCTCTTTTTTTTTTTTCACCCTTTCTTTTTAGAATTTACTTCCAGAGAAAGAAAGTGGGGCTCTCCTCCAGGACGCTGAGGAGTAGTATTCTTATAAGTAAACAATATGAGTTCAAAGCATTGTGCTTTTAAAGATGTTTTTAGACACCCCAGCGGAACCAGCGCCTCGCTCCCTTGTGTGGGCAAGATAACAGCTGAAATTGAGGGAGGTACCATTGACCGAGTACCAGAGGAAGAAAAGAAAGCTGCCGCTAAACAACCTGGGCCGGCAGTTTTCTGAAATACTCAGCTGAGTCGTGAGCAACATCTCAGGACATTTTCTAAGGGTTTTTTTGTTTGTTAGTTTTTGTGTTTTTTAAAGATAGTTGGAGATGAAAGCAGAGTCGATATTAGGTACTGTTTTCACAAACTGGGATTGTGCATACTCCGTGGTGAGTTGATAGACCACGCACGGAGAAGCTTTGTCCCCAGAGTGGCAATAATTAACCCTGCACCAAGCACTGCTGTGGTTAACAGTCACTTTAACATGAGACCGACTAAACTTCAATGATGGCTAGGAAGTCGCAAACGTCTGCAAACAATAGGTTCATGTGGCTCTCCCTTGTTCCTGGGGTCCTTGGTGTCTGTCCTCAAGAGCAAGGGAGCAGAAGGGACAAACTGGGCATTAGGATGGATGAAGTGACCTCAGGGAACCACTCATAGCTCAACTTTATTCAGGTTGAGCAAAGACTTTGGGGAGAAAGTTGGGGGTGGAGGGTTCCACAGGATAGGTGTACATAATTAGTTAAGGTTAGGGATTCCAGAAATGCTTTAATTTGCATTAGGCATCACAGTCCTATGGACACAAGGAAGGGAGAGCTAGCAGAGAACTGTGCCAAAGGCCATATACCATATATGGTTAAAGGCATCTGTGCCTACACACACTGTCCAGATGAGGTCAGGGAGAGAGTAGGAGGCCCTGCTGGGGAGAGGGTGTCCTCCATCTCGGGCTGAGTTCAGAAAGGCTACCTGGACTGCATGGACTGCAACCTCAAAGAGCAGGGTCCTCCAACAGGTTCATTTTACGATTTCTGATCTTCACTTAGTCATTACCAAGCATGACTAAAAGAAAATTCATTACTAGAAAAATAAGTCACTGATGAGAACTGAAATGGATGTTAAGGACAGCAGGTGAGTAGTTGTAAGCACATTCGTCTGTATGTTCCAAAGAATGAGTAGGGAGAACGAAAAGTCAGGTGCTGTGCAGGTGTGGGACACTAACACTCTTATTTTGCTGTTTGGAATGTAAAATGACACATGTGCTTTGAAAAAGTAACGTAGCCATTCTTCAAAGTGTTAAACATAGCATTACTAAATGAGCCACAATTTCCCAAGTACAATTACAAATGAAGTCAAAATATACATAGACACAGATTTTGTGCATTGTGTGCATTTTTGGAGGGCAAAACCCATCATGTCCTACAAAAATGGGACAAGCCCATCGTGATACATGGAATAAAAAGACTAACTGCACACACGGTCAATGTGAAAACAAATTGGCAATGACAAAGAATATGGTACTTATACTTGGAAAACAAGCAATGAGCTTTAGAAAATGAAACTAAAGAAACCAGGTACCAAAAATCCGTACAGATTTTATTATTTTCTTTACATGAGACATCCAAACAAGGCAAACCTATGAAAATAAAAACTGTATTAATACTTGACCCACAGGTTGGAGCTAGGACAGAAAGTAAGGTATGGACACATTGATGAGAGGAACTGGAAATGAATAAAGAGTTTCTTTTAAGGGGCTTAATAAAAATGTTCTAAAATTAGGTTGTGGTACATGTTGAATAACCTATGCAAAAGTCATTTTATGCTATAAAGAAATGTGCACAACACCATTATTTTGGGTTTTGAAACAAACTAAAGACCTGCCAACCTTACAGAGATGGGCACACTATACTCTAGTATGAGCGATTAGATGGCCTCAGTATCACATTAAACATGAACATTAAATCAAGAAGCTCTAAAATATGGAAACCATACAAAGCGAGTCACAGAGTGTCTTCAAAGAAATGAAATAAAATGGGCAAACAATTCTGAGTGGAGACACAAGTTCTTACATAGTGATGTACGTGGAAATAGAATTCCTGAATGAAAGACAATGAAATAAGGGAAAGAAGCAATGAGTACTGACAAAAAAAAAAAAAAAAAAAAAAAAAAAAAAAAAAAAAAAAAAAAAAACCTCGAGTTGAAGTTTAATTAAAAATCAAAAATTTCCAAAGCCCTTACCACACTGGTTCTCAGCCTTCCCAATGGAGTGACCCTTATATATGGTCCCTCATGTTGTGGTGACCTGAAACATAAAATTATTTTTATGGCCTAGATGTAGTGGTGCATGCCTTTAATACCAGAATTCAGGAAGCAGAGGCAGGTAGACCTCTGTGAGTTCAAGGCCAGCCTGGATTACAAAGTCCAGGATAGCCAAGGTTACACAGAAAAACCCTATCTTGAGAAAAAAATTATTTTTTATTGCTGCTTAATAACTATAATTGTTCTGTGGTTATGAGTCAAAATGTAAGCATATGTGTTTTCTGATGCTCTTAGGTGACCCCTGTAAAAGGGCCTTTTGACCCCCAAAACAGTTGGGACCCACAAGTTGAGAACTGCTGCCCTAACACAAGAAACATGAGTGAAACTCTGACTATATACCATAATTATTTAACTTTACTCAAGACCATTAATAGAAGGAAAACACCATATGCAAATGGTAAAAGAAAAAAGAATGTTACATGTAGAAAAACAAAAATAATGAATATAGGATTTTTTTTTTGTTATAGTGCAATAAAAAGCCAGTGGGGCAACAACTTTAAAACACATTTTTAAAATTAATTATAATGCATTAACTTTGTATCCCAGCTGTAGGCCCCTTTCCCATCCCCTCCCAATCCCACCCTCCATCCTTCTTCTCTGCCCTTGCCCCTCCCCAAGTCTAGTGATGAGGAGGTCCTCCTCCCCTTCCATCTGACCTTAGCCTATCAGGTCTCATCAGGAGTGGCTGCATTGTCTTCCTCTGTGGCCTAGTAAGGCTGCACCCCACTCAGGGTGCAGCCACTGAGTTCATGTCAGAGACATCCCCTGTTATTCTTACTAGGAAACCCACGTGGAGACTGAGCTGCCATGGGCTACATCTGTGTAGGGCTTCTAGGTTATCTCCATGCATGGTCCTTGGTCGGAGTATCAGTCTCAGAAAAGACTCCTGAGCCCATATTTTTGGTTCTGTTGCTCTCCTTGTGGAGCTCCTGTCCCCTCCAGGTCTTTTATCTCCCCTTTATTTACACAATAGAATACTACTCAGCAATTAAAAACAAGGAAATCATGAAGTTTGTAGGCAAATGGTGGGAACTACAGAAGATCATCCTGAATGAGGTATCCCAGAAGCAGAGAGACACACATAGTATAAACTCACTTATAAGTGGATATTAGACATATAATAAACATATGATAAACATACTAAAATCTTCATACCTAACGAACCTAAGCAAGAAGGAGGACCTTGGGTCAATCCTCATTCAGAAAGGCAAACTGGATGGACATTGGAAAAGGGAGAAAACAGGGAATAGGAAAGGAGCCTACCACAGAGGGTCTATGAAAGACTCTACCCAGCAGGGTATTGAAGCAGATGCTGAGACTCATAGCCAAACTTTGGGCAGAGTGCAGGCAATCTTAAAGCACTTTTTTCAAAAGGCAAATTAACCTTGATTTCTATATGCAGCAAACAGCCTTCAAAATGACAGTCAAGTAAAGGCACTTTTATTGTGGTAGTAGAAGCAATTTTTCAGATCCATATTATGTAAGAGAGATAAAATACTTTAGACATAAGGAAAAGTGACATATAAAAACATGATGATGTACACAAGAGTAGAAAGCACCAGACATGGTGACAATATGAGGAATTTTTTCTTAATGTTTAAACATTTATAAAATATTTATTGATAATTTTGGACAAAGAGTGGATGTCATCGTACACACAGATTTCTAAGAAAATAAAAATAAAAAAAAAATAAAAAGCTCTATCATAACACCCAAATAACTATTATTTTCTATCTTAATGTTCTGTATGTATGTTAAGACCCACTCCTAGCTAGGAGAGGCATATCTCATCAGAGAGTGTGATTTTTCCCATTATAGAAGATTTTAATTAGCTTGCTTGCTGCACAATTCATGGCAATGCAAAGGAACACACTCTGGATTGAAAGAAATTCAAATTAAGTCTTAGTTCAGCCTCCTAGTACATCAAATGACCTTGAATAAATTACTTAATTGAGAATTTAATTTTGTCATTTATTAAGAATAAGATTGAGAATATTTCTTTATCTCAATTAGATGACATTTCTTTTGGAAAACCATAAAAGGTATTTTAAAAAACTATCTCCCGCTTTTGTTTGACATAGAGTAGAAGTACTAACATTTCACTTTCTCTCCCTGTCAGTGTAAATGAAAGCAGAACACAAAAGAACAGCAGAGGATTCTTGGGAAGAATCTTTTACATAGGATCGTAAGAAATGTTGAAAGGAGTAAAACATGAATTAGACTAATTTTCTAATAAGCTTGCCTCTTCTGGTTCCAGCAACATTTCCTAAGATCCATGGCTTTCCCCTTTCCAGGTTTGCTGCCACTCGTTTTTCATTGTCAATTTGATCAATACACTTAAA